CCAGCTCCGGCAGCCGAGCAAGGCCTCTGCTGCCACCTGGTGGTGCGTCTTAGAAACGCGGTGGTCAGCAGAAGGAGGGAATCGCGGGGCCCAAGCACGCCCAGGCCATTCAGCCCCCCTCCTCCAGTTGACCCCTGAGGACGGGGTCTAGAACCCAGAGGGTCGATAAATCTGCCACTGTTACACAGCATCTGGCTTCCTCGGCGCCTCCCCACTTACAGGTCACATGTGACATCACGAGGATCACCTGCCTAGGGCTCCCGAGCCCTGGCTGGAGGTGGCCAGCCCCCACCGGCTGGGCGTGCCGGCTGGGGACAGGTCTCCAAGCCCACCCACCCCAGTAACAGAACCCAGCCTCAGGCTGCGCCGGGGCCGCCAGTCACTGGTGCGGCCGGCACAGGCCCTGGCATACAGTAGGCGCTCACTAATGTTTCTCCTGCTGCTGCTGCTAATGATGGTGACAATGACAATACTGGTGATGATGACAATAATGACTAGTGGTGCTGATGACAACGATGCTGATGACAATGACGATGACGATGACAATGACATGACTACAATAATGACGATGTTGCTGCTGATGATGATGACGATGATGATGATGCTGACGATGATGATAATGACGATGACAATGACATGACTACAATAATGACGATGTTGCTGCTGCTGCTGATGATGATGATGATGATGCTGACGATGATGATGACAATGACGATGACAATGACATGACTACAATAATGATGATGCTGCTGCTGATGACAATGACGATGATGATGACAATGACATGACTACAATAATGACGATGATGCTGCTGCTGATGACGATGATGATGATGATGCTGACGATGATGATGACAATGACATGACTACAATAATGACAATGATTATGACAACAACGATGCTGCTGCTGCTGATGGCGATGATGATGACATGACCACAATGATGTTACTGTTGATGATGACGATGATGATGACGGTGTTGTGATGACATGACTACAATAATGATGATGATGATGATGCTAATGCTGACGATGATGACAATGACAATGACGTGACTACAATAATGACGATGCTGCTGCTGCTGCTGATGATGATGATGGTGATGATGATGATAGCGATGATGATGATGGCGATGACAACAGTGACGATGACCACACTGCAGCTGGGGGTGACGGTGAGGCTCTGGAGGGTGCGGATAATGCCAGCTCGAGCGTCACACGTGGCGGGACCAGAGCGCGCCCACCTGGAGACCTACAGGCCCAGCCCCCGAGACCGCAGGCAGCTTCTAGCGAGACTCCTCGCCCCCGGCTGTCCCCCCCAGGAGGCCACCGCTGTTATGCCGGCGTCCCCACACTTGCCTGGTCCTAGGAGTCACCTGAAGATGACCGGAAGCCCAGACCCCTGGGCGCCGTCCCTCCAGACTCTCCTTCGGAGGTTCGGGGCAGGGCCGGGAACCCGTATTTGCAGAGGGCTCGCACGGACGGGCAGTTGGGGTGCCAGCACCCCCACCTTTATGCGAAGGCCACGGGACTCTCGAGGGCAGGGCTGGCTGGGAGCACCCTTTGACCTGCACACGTGGGGGCAGACGCAGGGCCTTGGGAGCCCGGCCAGGCAACGGGGAGCAGAGGGGAGGCCAGTCGGAGCTTCACGCCTCACACGTCCGAGGCGAGGGGAGGCTGAGGGAGGGCAGCCGGCAGTGACAGTGACGTCATCGTCCGGGCCGCGGAGGAGGCTGTCGCCGTCGGGGTGAGGAGCTGCAGGCCTGGCCCCGCAGGCGGAGGGGCGCTTGGGAAGGAGGCGAGGGGAGCAGAGCCTCGTGTCTCCGACTCCCCGACAGCAGCGGTGGCCAGCGTGGGGCAGGGAGACTCTGGGGCCCGTCGGCCCCCAGCAGGCACCAGCCTTGCGTACTCTTTCCCCTACCAGGGTGGCGTCCGGCACATTCGCCCACAGCCCGAGGGGGCGCCCGCACCACAGCCCGTGGGCAAGCCCTGAGCCTGGGCTCTCTGGGGTGGGTCCGGTGTGGGCCTGGGTGTTTGCCTGCTGGGGGCCTGGAAGGCGTGTGGACGCCTGGACACGGTGGTGACGGTGTGGAGGCTGCCGTAGGGGGCCGTGGGGGCGGGGAGGCCAGGGCTGGGAGCGGCGCCCACCCCGCGTGCAGCGGACCACAGGCCCCAGCCGCCCTGCCGTGGCTCCGGGCCGCGCAGAGTGTCGTGCCGAGGGCCGGGAGCGTGAGACTGAGTTTCCAGATACCCAGCGCCGGCCCGAAGTGTAGTAGCCGGCTTTCGTCACCTGCCAGGGGCACCCCCTTCTGCAGAGGTGGGTTAAATGGCAGAGCAGCAGGGCAGGGTCCCGTGGGAAGGGGTGGGCAGGGGACGGGGAACCCCGCCAGGGGCCAGAGCGATTCTTCACGTGAGGCCGCCCAGAGCAGCTAAGAGACGCAAGTTGGGGGGTGCGTGACGTGAGTGTGGTGTGTGCATGTATGTGTGGTGTGCATGGTACGTGGGGGAGACGTGAGAGGTATAGTGTGTGAGTGTGGTGTGTGCATGTGTTCGTGATGTGTGTATATATATGTGTGTATGGTGTGTGGTGTATTTGTAGTGTGTGCATGGTGTGGTGTGTGGGCTGTGGTGTGTGATGTGTGTATGCATGCATCTGCAGTGTGTGCGTGGTGTGTGGTGTGTGTGGTGTGTGATGGGTGTGTATGCATGCATCTGCACTGTGTGCATGGTGTGTGGTGTGTGTGGTGTGTGATGGGTGTGTATGTGTGCATCTGCAGTGTGTGCATGGTGTGTGGTGTGTGTGGTGTGTGATGGGTGTGTATGCATGCATCTGCACTGTGTGCATGGTGTGTGGTGTATGTGGTGTGTGATGGGTGTGTGTGTGTGCATCTGCAGTGTGTGCATGGTGTGTGGTGTGTGTGGTGTGTGATGTGTGTATGCATGTATCTGCAGTGTATGTGTGGTGTGTGATATGTATATGTGTGCATCTGCAGTGTGTGCGTGGTGTGTGGTGTGTGTGGTGTGTGATGGGTGTGTATGCATGTATCTGCAGTGTATGTGTGCTGTGTAATGTGTATATGTGTGCATCTGCAGTGTGTGCGTGGTGTGTGCATGTATGGTGTATAATGTGTGTATGTGTGCATCTGCAGTGTGTGCATGGTGTGTGCATGATGTATGCATGCATGGTGTATGATGTATATGTGTGCATCTGCAGTGTGTGTGGTGTGTGATGTGTGTGGTGTGTGATGTGTATGTATGCGTGTATCTGCAATGTGTGCATGGTGTGTGGTGTGTGGTGTGTGATGTGTGTGTGTGCATCTGCAGTGTGTGTGGTGTGTGGTGTGTGTGGTGTGTGATGTGTGTATGCATGTATCTGCAGTGTATGTGTGGTGTGTGATGTGTATATGTGTGCATCTGCAGTGTGTGCATGGTGTGTGGTGTGTGATGGGTGTGTATGCATGCATCTGCAGTGTATGTGTGATGTGTAATGTGTATATGTGTGCATCTGCAGTGTGTGCGTGGTGTGTGGTGTGTGTGGTGTGTGATGTGTGTATGCATGTATCTGCAGTGTATGTGTGGCGTGTGATGTGTATATGTGTGCATCTGCAGTGTGTGCGTGGTGTGTGGTGTGTGATGGGTGTGTATGCATGCATCTGCAGTGTATGTGTGGTGTGTGATGTGTATATGTGTGCATCTGCAGTGTGTGCGTGATGTATGGTGTGTGTGGTGTGTGATGGGTGTATGCATGCATCTGCAGTGTGTGCATGGTGTGTGCATGATGTATGCATGCATGGTGTATGATGTATATGTGTGCATCTGCAGTGTGTGTGGTGTGTGATGTGTGTGGTGTGTGATGTGTGTGTATGCGTGCATCTGCAATGTGTGCATGGTGTGTGGTGTGTGGTGTGTGATGTGTGTGTGTGCATCTGCAGTGTGTGTGGTGTGTGGTGTGTGTGGTGTGTGATGGGTGTGTATGCATGTATCTGCAGTGTATGTGTGGTGTGTAATGTGTATATGTGTGCATCTGCAGTGTGTGCATGATGTGTGGTGTGTGTGGTGTGTGATGGGTGTGTATGCATGTATCTGCAGTGTATGTGTGGTATGTAATGTGTATATGTGTGCATCAGCAGTGTGTGCGTAGTGTGTGCATGTATGGTGTATAATGTGTGTATGTGTGCATCTGCAGTGTGTGTGGTGTGTGGTGTGTGTGTATGCGTGCATCTGCAGTGTGTGTGGTGTGTGGTGTGTGTGTATGCGTGCATCTGCAGTGTGCATGGTGTGGCTGTTTGGCACGTGCTGCTTGTCACTGGAGGTTCCGTGCTCTCTCACTGCCTGTTGAACTCTCAAAGTCCCCACCAGTCCACGTCCCCCAGGCGAGGACGCTGGCTCCACCCCCTGGGCCGTCCTGCGGGCCCTGGCCTTTGCCTCCCGGCGAGGGCCCCTGACGGGTCTGCTGGCCATGACAGGACCCCCTGGGGTGGCGTCTCTCATTCACTCTCCAAAGACCCTCTGGCTGCCCACCCCGCCCCTTGGAGGGGCATCAGGAAGCCACCGCTTGCCACACAGACGGAGGCCACAGGTGCTCCAGGCCGAGTCCCCCGCACGGCAGGGGCTGGGCAGGGCCCAAGGACGGCTGGCTCTGCCGGAGGTGTGTCTGGGCGCCCGCCCCGTCAGGGTCTGGGAGGGCGGGGCGGGCTGGGCCCCCCTCCAGCTCGGGCCGGGACGCATTGCCCGGTGGGAGTGGCGCGTTCAGGGCCCACCAGAGCAAGAGCGTCCTTGAAGCACCAGCCCGGGGGCCCAAGAGAGGCCAGGCCCCTCGGCCTCTCCCTCCGTGCTCTTGCCCCCCAAGCCCTCGGGTGTCCTCTCCTCTCTTTCCCTTCGGACGCTTCACCCCGAAAACCCCCTCCTTCCCGCAAAGGGGCCCTGCGCCCCCGCCCTGTAGACCTCCACAGTGGAGACACGACCAGACAGCAAGTTGCTTGTGTCACCTGCTCTTTATTGACTGCCACGGGCTGCACTCTCATGGGTGACCGGTGTCCCCGAGAGTGGCGCTACACAGAGGGGTGGGGGAGGCGGTCTGAGAGAGGTGGGCAGCAGAGAGCCCAGGTGCACGGGCCTCGGCACAGCCCCCCGGGCAGCGTGGGCAGCGCCGGCCGTGAGCAGAGGCCACCCAGCGGTGAGTCGCGCCTGGCGGACCTGGCACCCAGAGCCCCCCAGGGTGCTCGGCGGGGTCCTCTCGGGCGTGGGCACCCCCAGACCTCTCAGCAGAGCCCAGGCTGCCCGCGGAGGAGGTGCGAGATGGCCACGCCCCGGCCGGTGTTGGGGTCGGGGCGCCCCGAGGCCCTGAGCTCTCCCGGCCACTCTCTCAAACCCTGGTCCAAGGGAGGAGGCGGGGAGGGAACGCGAAGGGAAGCGGAGGGAGACAATCGCCACGCCGCGCCACGCCCCCGGGGCTGGGTGGGGGCTGCGGGGGGCGGCCGGGCCGGGGCCCGCTTAGGACGAGGGCGCGGAGCTGGGTTTCTCCTCCCGGGACACGGGGATGGCTCGCTCGCTGTGGCCGGCGTCCAGGCCGGACTGGACCTTGGGGCCGGAGAACGTCAGCATGCCGTCCGCGGACAGGGAGCAGGACAGCGCCGACTGGTCCACGTTGGAGGGCAGGCGGTAGCGGCGGTGGAACTCGCGGGAAATGTAGCCGTGGTCGTCCTGGGGCGGGGACCCGAAGGGGCGCGGTCAGAGGGGACAGGGTGCGCCCCGCCTGGATCCGCGGATTGGCGCAGGCTCTCCGGAGCCCTGGGTCAGCCTGGCCCGGCTGTCCGGGAGCGAGAACCTGCCCGGGGCCGGCCACGGCCACAGACCTGGCTCTTTGCCCTGCCGGGTCCCCCTCTGATACCGGGGGGTCGTTCCATCCCTACACCTGTCGGTTTTCCCTTCCTGGGACCTGCATGGGCTGCTCAAGCCCAGGGTCTCTGCTGTCCAACCTGCGTGGCAGAAAGCCACACGGGCAAAACGCTGCCACCTGTGTTCGCCCTGAGCCACGCCCAGCTCCCTGGGCCGACCCCCCCTTCCCCCAGGTGGGGACGGAGAGCTGAGCACTCCGGGAAGGATTTCCTGGGCTGTGCGGCTACAGCTGCTCGGTGGGGGAGCTTTACTCGGCCCACGCGACAGGGGACGGCAGACAGGAGGGTGGGTTTCACCCTCACCTTCAGCCATTCAGAGAAGACCCGGGCCAGGAGTCCCAGGCCCCAGCCCCTCTCTGCCTCGGCTGGCCCTTCCTGGCTGTGCCCGGGGCTCCCTCGTCACCATGGAGACCCGAGCGAGGAGAGCCGAGAGCCTGGGTGGGGGCGACTGCCAGGGAGGAGCCCCTGCTCCCCCACCCTGTGCTCGCTGCGGGACCCGGGCAGCCCCAGGCCCGTCCCTTGCCTCAGCTCTGCCCGTGGGATGACCAGGGCACTGGTCCCAAAGGGCCGCTGAGAAGTTACCGTGCCAACGCACGAAAAGCGCTTGGACGCCAGTGAATGCAGCTACGCGGGCGTCAGGGGCCGGCCTTCAAGGTCAGGTTTTATGTGAAAACGTGTTGGCCCGGAGGTGGCCGCCTGCACGCTCCCATCTCCTGGGGTCCTGTCGAAGCCCACCCTGTCGCCCACTCGATCCAGGGGACCTGGTAACAGCTGGGCACGGTGGCCGAGTCGGGGCCCCTAACCCGGGTCCCTAACCCGGGTCCCCGAGCCTCGTCCCGCCGTGCAGGGACGACAGTGAGCCGCGCGGTCGGTCGGGAGGAGGCGGCCGTGCTTAGCTGAGGCAGCTGCTGCCTCTGGGGGAAGCGGGGCCGCATCTGGGACCCCAAGAGTTTTCTGCGCCCGTTTTCCCTGAACCCGCTCTCAGCTCACCTGCCTCTCGTTGTGTTTGCCGTGGATCTCCACGAAGTCCTCCTGCACCTTCACGGTCAGGTCCTCGGGGGAGAAGTGCTTCACGTCAAGGAAGATGACAAACTTGTCCCGGTCAGATCGGACCTGAAACCCAAGCATCTCGTGTGGCCCGTGTGGCCGTGGCCCAGGAAGGGAGCAGCCGCCCGCCAGCCTCTTCCTTCCCCTGCTGCGTGGGCGAGTCCCGGGGCCTGTCACCCGGGCGGGGCCCCGCCTGACCCGTCCCACGCTCCCGGGCTCAGCAGAGCTGCAGACGCCCGCCGGCTGGTTTGGGTATGACCAGGTGGCCGGCTGCAGATGGCTCGGCTGGTTATGGGCTGGCTGTCGGCTGGTTACGGGTTAGTTGTTGGCTAGTTATGGGCTGGCTGTCAGCTGGCTGGGTGGACTCAGCCCTGGACTAAGGTCACTGCCCTAAGCACCGCCATGCCCACAGCGGCCCAGGAGCCTGTTTTTCATCTTTTCCATCCTGCAGCCTGCACGGTGCCCTCCCACCCCTGCCCGTGTCCCTGGCTCGGTTTGCTCCCCGCTGGATGTCCCTGCACCAGCTCTGGGGGTCTCCTGCTCTTCGGGTGGTGGGTGGGACTTGCACCTCCAGAACTGTGGCCCTTCCCTGACTGCCCGAGGCCCAGGAGGGGAGGCAAGGATGTCGCTTCCTCTCCTTTGGCCTTGGTGGGGCCACCTGGGTGAACCTGGTGACAGCCACCGTGTCTGCGGCTTCGGCCGTGCTGGGACAGCCGTCCTCTCTGGATCTCGGGGCAGCGGCCCCCACCCGCACCCGGGCTTCCTGGATTGGGAGGGAGAGTGCGGAGAACAGCCAGACCCAGAGAGCTCCAGGTGGCCGTCACACTTGCCTTGCCGGGGTTGCTCTTGGGGTTTCCAGCATGTGGCTGGTGCATTACAAACCACATACGGGTCATGAGCTGACGGAGGAAAAGACAAGGGTGGGCTCGGGCTGACTCCTCCTGACCCCCCCCCGGCTGCGGGCGGCTGTGCCCCGAGGCCGTGTGGCCGCACGGCCGGTGCTCGGGCTCCCGCCGGCCTCTGCACAGTGGTGGTGGGGCCGAGGTGGGGGTGGGGGGAGGCAGGAGAGCGGCCCTGTGGCCGTGGCCACCTGCTGCATGGAGCAAGGCAAGAGCCAGGGCAGCCAGGTGCCACCTCGGCCATCGCTAGCTCTCCCCCTCAGCCCAGCAAGGGGAGGCCGGCGGGGCCGCGCCTTACCTCGGAGACGCCGGAGTCCAGCACGGTGCGGAAGAGGGACTGGCGGTAGTAGGGGCTGATGGTGGACGACAGGAAGGGCAGCAGGTCGTACTCAAAGAGGCCCTCGCCGAAGAACTGGTCGAACAGCCGGCTGGGGTAGAAGGGGCCCAGCGGGCGCTTGAACCAGGGGTGCTGGATGGTGACGTCCATGTTCGGCTTCGGCACCGCGGGGACCCGGAGGCTGCAGGGGAGTCAGGAGGGGCCTCTGGGCAGCGCAGTGGGGAGCCGGGCCCGCGCCCTGCCTATATACGCCGCGGCAGAATGGAGGCATTAAGGGATTTCTCTGGAAAGGCATGAGCTCACGGGGAGGGCTGCCCCGTCAGCAGAAACGCGCGGGCCGGGCGCCACCCAGCCCCGGGAGGCGCTGCGCTGGCGGGCATGGGCCTGGGCTCGGCTCAGGGCCGCCTGGAGGGCAGACGATCCCAGGAGGAGCCCTGCACCCGCTCTGGCCGGGGGACGGGAGCTTCTGGCCTCCCACGTGCTGGGCGGGGGCGCCAGTTCCTCCTGCACCTTGTCCCGTGTGGTCCTCACGGCCGTGCTGGGAGGGGCTCACGCCCGGTTCACATGTGAGGAAGCCGAGACACAGAGGTCAGACACGCCGTCCCCAAATCTTGCAGCTCCCAGGTGAGAGCACGTTGTCTCTCCAAAACAGGACCCTCCGCCCCGCTCACGATCGCGGCCACCGAGTTCCCAGGGAGGACAGAAAAGACGGAGGAGAGGCAGAAAGGCGGTGCTCGGCCTGGGGGTCTGTGTGCGCCCCACAGGGTCGGAGACTGGCTTCCTTGACGCGCACGGGACCCCCGTGGAGGGCTGCCCTCTGTGCGGCTCCACTCATGCCTCCCCGGGGCGCCCCCGCCCACGGCGCTCAGCCGGCTGACACGTGTCCACCCGTCCACCACGTCCCGTTAAAGGCAGGCCTGGGGGTGACCTTGCCCCGACCTGCGGCCCTCGTCCGGTACTGCCAAGTGTCGGGGCACCCCCAGTTTAAAGGCTTTTGATATTTTTAGGTAAACTGGTCTTTGGGGAGCATCACGCCTCCCAACCGCAGCACGGGGAGAGCACACGGTCCAGACCTCGAGAGGCTCCTGCACCTCCTCTGCCTCCCCCGTCCTGCCTCCCCCATCCTGCCTCCCCCCCGTCCTGGCTCCCCCGTCCTGCCTCCCCCGGTCCTGCCTCCCCCCGTCCTGCCTCCCTCCGTCTTGCCTCCCCCCGTCCTACCTCCCCCATCCAGCCTCCGCTCCTAACTGTCCAGTTCCCGTCTACAAGGAACACATGCGCCGGAGCACCCGGGGTCCCTGCAATGGGCCTTCGGTCTCAAGAGGACAGACCCCTGAGCATGAGGAGGGCTGAGCTGGCCCGTCCAGGGCCACTCGCCGTGCAGTGGGGGCTCGGAGCCCTCCCCACGCAGCTCCCGAGGACCCAGCCGTGTTCGGTGCCAGACCCTGCCCTCATTGGGACGTCGGCTGTGCACCCAGCACTGTCCAGGTGGGAAAGAGCCCCGAAAGATCTCGAAATGACAACCTCCGCCCTGCAAACGTGCAATGCCAAGAATTGACGCCCAGGTGTCAGGCAACGAGTGCCAGACCGGGGTACAGGCAGCAAACACAATGGCTGTGGGTTTTGGCACCCCCTGACATTGGGCACAGAGGGGACAGCCTTCCTGTCCTCCCTGCACCTGGCCCTACCCAGGGTCGGTCAGCAGGCGGGGGCTGCGGGCGGGGGCAGGGTGGCGTTTCAGGCTGGGGAGGGTTGCTGGGGAGGAGGGGGGCATCCTCCAAACACAGGGATGGGTGGTGCCCTGGTGTTCACACCCGTGTCCCTGCCCCCATGAGGTTGGGAACCCTGCAGGCTGAGGGACACCGAGCCACCTGCCTCAGAGCACACCCGAGCCATGAAGGCCGGGCGAGGGCAGTTCAGGGCTGTCTCCATCCTGAGTTGAGGGTGCTGCGTTAGTGTCCTGTTGCTGCTGTGCAAATCACAAATTTGGTAGCTTAAAACCACACAAATGGGCAGGGCGCAGTGGCTCACGCCTATAATCCTTGCCCTCTGGGAGGCCAAGGTGGGAGGATTGCTCAAGGTTAGGAGTTCAAAACCAGCCTGAGCTAGAGTGAGACCCTGTCTCTACTAAACACAGAAATTAATTGGCCAACTAAAATATATAGAAAACATCAGCCGGGCATGGTGGCGCGTGCCTGTAGTCCCAGCTACTCGGGAGGCTGAGGCAGGAGGATTGCTTGAGCCCAGGAGTCTGAGGTTGCTGTGAGCTAGGCTGACGCCACGGCACTCTAGCCCGGGCAACAGAGTGAGATTCTGTCTCAAAAAAAAAGAAAAAGAAAAAAAGAAAACGCACAAATGTGTTGTCGCAAAGTTCTGGCGGCTGAACCGTGTCTCACTAAACAAAACTCAGGTGCTGTCCAGGCTGGTTCCTCCTGGTGGCCCCGGGGAGGGTCCGCTTCCTGCCTCTGGGCGGAGTGGTGGTGGCGCCTCTCCCCCACCGCGCCCGTGTGCCGTGACGCTCCTGCCCTCTTACGAGGAGCCCGTGCGCTCGGCCACCTGGAGGGCGGGACCAGCTGGAGGCCGTCTGCACGCAGGAGCCCGAGCTCCCGGGTTCTGCGGGGGACATTCCCAGGCTGCCTGTCAGGAAAAGCCGCCCGGGGCGTTGCCCAGCCGTGGCCCCGCAGCTCAGAGAAGGAAAAGCGATAATGGTCAACCCGGCTCACGCCACGCCGACTCTGCGGCCAGCCACCTGTGACCTGCAACCTCTGTGACCTAATTGAACCTGAAGGGAGGCCGGTTCCTCACCTGTGCCCTTCCCCTCCTACCTCCGCGTCCGCCAGCCTCCCCCAGCGCCAAGGCGACACGAGGGGTGTATTCACTCATCAGCCAGCGCTGGCCAATACGACACGCGCGGGTGTGAGCAAAGCCCCTGCCTCTGTGGGGCCGATGCTCCAGCGGGTAAACAGCAAGGGGTAAATGTGTGCTCCAGGAGGCACCTCGAGACCCCCGCAGAGGGCAAGGCGGGAACAGGGAAGCGCGCGGTCTCTCCCGCAGCACGCGGGCGTCTGTCCCCGCAGCCCCGCCCCACCCACCTGGGCTCTGGGGAACGGCCCCTCTGGCTTGTGCCGGCTCCGGCGGGGATTCCCGCTGCAGAGGCCGAGAGGAGCGGGCCGAGCCCGGCCGCTGCCCTGAGAGCCGCCGCATCTGTGCGGGCAAACAGGACCGGCGGAAGCCAGCACCGTGCCGCGACTCCTGGGCGCGTCAGCACAAACAGGCCCCCTTTTGTGGGCCGAGCTCTCGGTCATCGATCATCGCACAGCTGATCCGAGGAGTGGCGTTCTAGAAAGCTCCATCGGGCACCGACTGAGCGGCCGCCGTGAACGTGGAACTGTGTTCCTGGGGGTCCCGGGGCTGGGCCCCAGCGATCCGATCACGACATCCTCACCGGCGATCCGATCCGCAGGGACCCTGTGCCCCGTGTCTCTGTCCGCGACAGCCGGCCAGTGCGTTGCTGGCTTGCCGACGGAGCCCACACCCCCGCGCTGTGACGCCCGGCCTGAGCAGAAACCCCCCCCTGCGCCCGCGCTGTCTGCGGAAGACCCGTCATGGCCTCTCTCGCTCCGGGCCGCCGGCTCCGCCATCCTGTGCCTGGCGGCATCTGAAGTGCCAAAGCCACCAGCCAAACACACACAGAATGACACCGCATACACCCCGGGGGGGGGCACGTGTCTGCAGCACGAGAGCCGAAACAGGAGGCAGAGTGCTGCCTTGTGCCCCCGCCGGGGACGCGTGTGTCACGGCGCAAATTTTTCGGCGCCCCGCACACGTCTGTGAGTGGCCGTGCACATGTCCATGTCAGGGTTATAAGTGAGCGTGGCAGGGCCGGGTCTGCGCGCTGAGCTGCGACTCCCAAACCGCGGAGGACGGAGCCCTGGGCCCCCTGCCGCGGACGCCACTGTGCCTGAGGACAAGGTCTCAAGAGGAAACTAGGGTGAGACGAGGCGCAGGCGCCCTCAGCAGGAGATGTGGGCACGCCACGGGACGCCAGGGAGGGACGGCAGAGGGAGTGAGGGCCCCGCAGGGAGGGGCCCGACCACAGCGCGCAGACAGGCTCAGAGGAGCCAGCCCTGCCGGCGCTGACCCCGCACGCCCAGCCTGCGGGGCCTGCGGGGCCGGCGCCTGCGGAGAGTCGTCACGGCAGCCGGGCAGACTGGCGCAGCCGGTGCGTTCACACACGTGTGCGAACACACACGTGATGAGGAGCGACTGCATTCGTATGACCTTCAAATAAGCGCAGTTCGTTTCTCAGCCTTTCCGGAAGGCTCACTTCTCGGAAACTGTGCAGAACTCCCGGGTGCGCGGTTGTTCCCAACACCGTGGACACAACTGCGTGCATTTGTGCGGAGCAGGTTTTTTGTTGTTGTTTTTTTTTTTTTTTTTTGAGACAGAGTCTCACCCTGTTGCCCGGGCTAGAGTGAGTGCTGTGGCGTCAGTCTAGCTCACAGCAACCTCAAACTCCTGGGTTCAAGCAATCCTCCTGCCTCAGCCTCCCGAGTAGCTGGGACTATAGGCATGGGCCACCATGCCCGGCTAATTTTCTATATATTTTTAGTTGGCCAATTAATTTATTTCTATTTTTAGTACAGACAGAATCTCACTCTTGCTCAGGCCGGTTTCGAACTCCTGACCTTAAGAGATCCACCCACCTCGACCTCCTGGAGTGCTAGGATTACAGGCGGAGCAGGTTTTGGAGGTTGGGACAGCCAACTCAGACTCCTGGGGCAGGGAGAGGAAGGTTCTCATCTGCAGCCCCTGGGCTGGGGGTTCCAGAGCCCGGTGGATTTCTGTGCCTAAACAGGACAGTTCACATAAACCTCATGGAGAAAGAGACTGGGGTTACTTCAATTCTGTCATCCTATGTGACCTCTTGGTGCTTTAAATTCCTGTTTAAAATTTAAAACTGCGAAACCCAGTGCAAGCTGAGCAGTAGCATTTGAGTGCAAAGGTGCGCTCACACATGAAGTCAGTCCCTGATTAGAATAATGACTTTATAATTGAAATGTACCCTTCTTTCTGTTAATTGCTTTAAAGAACAATCAGGAAAAGCATGACTGTCCATGATGATGACATGATTATACAGAAAATATTTTTTTTTTATGAAGGATGGAGCGTTCAAAAATGTGA